AACAACTTGATATTTAAAGAAAATGTTGAAAATACAAATAAGCTCTAAACACACATTTTAACAAATGATATAAACTAGTGTTCCTTAACTCTTAGTCGGTTCTATGGCTAAGTCGATGCGAACGCTTCGTAATGCCGGGATGCCGGGTTCGATCCCAGCTGCGGGCCATGCGCCTTTGGTTTCGACAGTGGTATCAAGAAAGCTGACCGTGTAGAAAGCAATAGCAAACTACTGGACGTAAATTTGCCTAGAAAAACCACACAACAGCCAATGGCTGTTGGGTTGATTCTGCAACGTCCTGTAAAGAATACGCAACTAACCCTTAACTCTTAACTTTGAATCGGGGAGGTGAGAAAATCTTTCAAGGACTGAATGACAGAAATTTATTTAAAAAAGTGTAGATAGCATTTTATGACCCAATAGCGATTTGATAGAAAAATTTTGCAGAAGACCAGAATGAAGAACTTAAAGATATATTCCGCGCAACTTTTAATATATAAATGTTATTGCCTGAATCGGCAATTGTTTCAAACTGTTTTACTGAAGTTATGCTACAGAGCCAGTTAAGGCGTAAACCAAGACCCATGTTGTTTTTACAATACATAGTTATTAAAAGAAGACTATTAGGTCGTCAAGAGATCATTTGCTTTGCAACTGTGGAAAACAGTTAGATCTTCAAAAGAATTATACATTTTTTTTTCTCCGTGTGGGTTCTGGGGCCCTATTATAGGGAAAACAAGAATAGATTACCAGACCCATTGCCTACCCAAAAGCATGTGGAAAGAGCCAAATAACTGGGAGCTTCAGTTGAAGCCAGAGTGCATCTGCCTGAGAGGCAAGGAATTAACAGTCATAGGTCAGATATGTAAAACGAATGCACATGCAACACTCAGATCTAATGACCGGAACTGGACTAACAACTAGAATCTCCTGCCAGAATGTACAGCTGGTGAACACGACGAGGAAGAAGAAGAAGAAGAAGAAGAAAGAGGAGGAGGAAAAGAAGAAGAGGACGAAGAAGAAGAAGAAGAAAAAGAAGAAGAAGAAGAAGAAGAAGAAGAAGAAGAAGAAGAAGAAGAAGAAGAAGAAGAAGAAGAAGAAGAAGAAGAAGAAGAAGAAGAAGAAGAAGAAGAGAAGAAGAAGAAGAAGAAGAAGAAAAGAAGAAGAAGAAGAAGAAGAAGAAATAATAATAATAATAATAATAAGAAAGAAGAAGAAGAAGTAGAAGAATAAGAAGAAGAAGAAGAAGAAGAAAAAGAAGAAGAAGAAGAAGAAAAAGAAGAAGAAGAATAAGAAGAAGAAGAAGAAAGAAGAAGAAGAAGAAGAAGAAGAAGAAGAAGAAGAAGAAGAAGAAGAAGAAAGAAGAAGAAGAAGAAGAAGAAGAAGAAGAAAGAAGAAGAAGAATAAGAAGAAGAAGAAGAAGAAGAAGAAGAAGAAGAAGAAGAAGAAGAAGAGAAAGAAGAAGAAAGAAGAAGAAGAAGAAGAAAAAGAAGAAGAAGAAGAAGAAGAAGAGGAAGAAGAAGAAGAAGAAGAAGAAGAAGAAGAAGAAGAAGAAGAAGAAGAAGAAGAAGAAGAAGAAGAAGAAGAAGAAGAAGAAGAAGAAGAAGAAGAAGAAGAAGAAGAAGAAGAAGAAGAAGAAGAAGAAGAAGAAGAAGAAGAAGAAGAAGAAGAAGAAGAAGAAGAAGAAGAAGAAGAAGAAGAAGAAGAAGAAGAAGAAGAAGAAGAAGAAGAAGAAGAAGAAGAAGAAGAAGAAGAAGAAGAGAAAAAGAAGAAGAAGAAGAAGAAGAAGAAGAAAGAAGAAGAAGAAGAAGAAGAAAAAGAAGAAGAAGAAGAAGAAGAAGAAGAAGAAGAAAAGAAGAAGAGAAGAAGAAGAAGAAGAAGAAGAAGAAGAAGAAGAAGAAGAAGAAGAAGAAGAAGAAGAAGAAGAAGAAGAAGAAGAAGAAGAAGACATGTGTACTTATTTAATATTAGTGATGTCATTGGCCATACAATGATATCAACATCTGTAAGACCACATAATAGCAACAACATCTCCATACTATTATTTTACCCTTTTGCATCAATGACTTTTTCGCTGAATGCAAATATTAGATCTTTTTCATCTTCCTAATATTACAAACGGTAAAAGTACACAATGTTGCTGGTGTCAGATCCGTCTGACTTGCTTGTTTCAGCTGTATTACTTCTAGATGTCATGGTTCTCTTTGAACAATCACATTGTCAAGTCGGACTTACCAGAAGTGAAAATGCGTGATAATATATTGATCAGAACCAACGTTATGACGTTTCTCGGGGTGAGGTTCGATCGCAGCTTGTCATTCAGGGAACACGTTGACCATGTGATAACAAAAGCACGCAAAGGTCTATCTGCATTGAGGATTATGGCTGCTTCCAATATCGAGCAAAGACTACTAATACTTCTATTCTACGGTCTGGTCCTTTCACCCATTGAATACGCTCTGGCCATCCTCACTGTCAGTGCTACCCAGATTGAAAGACTCGAAAAGGTGCAAAATGAAGCCATGCGCATTATTTTGGGATGTACAAGAGACACATCCTGTGAAGCAATGAGGTATCTACTTGACTTTCCAACAATGAACCAAAGGATCAGGATGTGGAGGGCTCGGGCATACCTCAAAATATGTGCTGATAAGAAACACCCACTGCATCAAGCGCTTTTTAGTGAAAAGGGCTACAGACTGAAGAGGGGAAAATCGTGGCTAGGTCGGGCAGAAGATGTTATTAGGCAAATATGCAGCCTAACCGACATCATACCTGGTGCAGAATGGATACCTGTGCCTCAGGCGTTTATTTGTACATTTTCCTGTATTGTCACACTCAACAGGCGATGTAGAGAAGAGAATCCTGTTGCTGTTAATGCAGAGGTCAACGCTCTCATCGGTGAAAATTCAGACGAAGCAGATGCACTAATCTATACAGACGGATCCGTTATACGCCAAAGAAGAAGCGCATGGCATTTTACAGCACGCTCAGCGGCAGAACAGTCAAAGAAGCCAACGGTGCCTTCTCCATGACAACCAGCAGCATGACGATGGAGGTGATGGCAGTGACGCAAGCGTTTGCCTGGCTTGAAACACAAAAATACACCCGCATATGTATACTCAGTGATTCAATGAGTATGATCCGGAGGGTTCAGGCAGGTTCAGTGCGAAGACAATGGCTTGAATCGTTTACAGAAGTCCACTGTGCGTGGAGTCCACCTTTATTTTTGTTCCGGGACACGCAGGCGTCGATGGAAATGAAAGAGCTGACAGGTTGGCTGGATCCGCTATCACTACCGACGGTCGGCCTATGGATCACGCTGATATTATCAATGCCCTCAGAGAAATGGAAAGGATAGAGGACTTTGGTGGCAGTGAATCCACATCACTCGCCAGAATGGCAGACTTGGGAATTAAGATCGGCACAGCAAAAAACGAGACGCACACCGGACACGTCAGAAGACTTGTTAATCAACATAGAACTGGTACTATTAGCCATCGGACGTTGGGGTTCATACTGAGGGGAGGATCTGAGCACCTATGGACATGTCCGGAGTGCAATGACGATAACCCAACTAACTAACTAACTAACTAACTACTTCTAGATTTTATTTTCGCAAGAAATTGGAGAGAAAATCCAATAATACCGTTGAGAAAAAAAAAAAAATACAAGGAATACAAGAACAACAACAACATTATACGTTTTTACAGCTGAAGTTGTATGGAAACTGCAACAAACTGCAATCGTTGCTTTAAGGTTAACGCAATTCTCTACAGTATAAGTTGGGTGTATCCTTTACAGGTCGTTGCCGAATCCACCCCAGCATTTTTGGGCTGTTAAGGTTTTCCTAGGCAAATATTACGTTCAGTAGTCCATTGCTTCTAAACAGTCAGCTATCGGTACTACTGTCAAATCCACTGCAAGACGTTCTGTTACCAAATCGCGCGCAACCCGGATCGAACCCGGCACTAAACCATTACTAAGCGCGACGCAACGCCAAAGTGACAGATGCCGACGCTCGGTAGTAGTGTGGAAATTTTGAAAATTTACTCGGATACTTTAAAGATGTGGCCTCCATTGTACTCACGTCAATTCACTCAGCTAGTAACTGAAAAAGAGTTGTGCGTTCCGCACTTGTCAGGTTTACATAAGTAAGCAGTAAGAACTGCTGACCATCCAAGCGCCTCTTAGTCTGATTTCTCAAGGGTTGTTGCCGGAAGTCCTAACCACCTGAGACTTTAAGAATCTCAACCCTTGTAGCTGTCCAAAAGAGCCAAACTTTGATACACTGTTAAACAGCGGAGAAAATTAAAATTACGTAACGGCTATAGCGGGTGCCACCGTAGTCTAGTGGCTAGAGGTGCCGATCCCAAGGTCGTAGGTTCAGGTCCTGACGGAGCAAGATTTTGATTTCAAAAATGACTGAAGCTGCCAGGTAGACCCAGCCTGTAATGAGTACAAGGTAAAGACCTGGGAAGTGAAGATGGCCAGCAAATGTTTGACCAGATTATCCCAGAATGTCGATTAGTCCTTAAAATATAGGTCCTTCCTTTAAAGTGACGGAAACTGGTCCTTTACTTTAATCTGCTCAACGGTTTCATCAGGTTTGTACAACGTGCAGTCTTGTACGGGTAAGGATAGTGCATTGTCCAAAAGCTTTGTTTTCTAATTTCATATGTTGTGAATCCAATCGGGATGGATTATCTCTGATCTCAGGGACTAAAGCTTACCAAGTCTCTGTATGACATGTCGGTACCTGTCATGTGTGGCTACAACTGTAGTGTTATCTATGATCTCAGGAACAAAGTTGCAAACTTTCCAAGTCTCTGTTTGACATGCCAGTACCTGTCATGTGTGGCTAAAACTGTAGTGTTATCTATGATCTCAGGAACAAAGTTGCAAACTCACCAAGTCTCTGTTTGACATGCCAGTACCTGTCATGTGTGGCTAAAACTGTAGTGTTATCTATGATCTCAGGAACAAAGTTGCAAACTCACCAAGTCTCTGTACGACGGACCAGTACCGGTCATGTATGGCTGAAACTGTACGATGACCAAAATGAATCTGAAGATGAACGACCCCACCAGGTTCTTATGAATGGAATTTCTGCTGCACTGCAATGATCTTGTCCAAAAGAAAGGTAAGAGGTTAAGAAAAATCTTAATACATTATTGATTAAAAAAGGAAGAAAATTATTATTACAAAAGCAGCATACATTAGGAAATAAAAACAACAATACCTGTCGTATTCCAGATAGCAAACATTAATAAAAAATCAAATAAGTACAGCATCCACAAGTTACCCACTCTAGCGTGGTGATGTGCTGAACTGAAGGTATTTGGGTGGAATCTGCATTGTGACTGATTTTTTTTTTCTCTCCAAAAAATAATGTAGATTCCCAGGTCGGCTTACCCTAATTTGGGTGAGAATTAAAGGCAGCCGGCGTTGTATTTATCATATCACCCATCATAATACCGCTTCATCTACAACAATAGGGGTCTAGCATTCAAATTCCCAATACGCCACTGGTAGGAAAAGGACCAATCCCTTTTTTCTTTAAATATAATCATATTCGATGAAAATTGCCTTCATCGGCTGACCGCTGACAATCCGAAAATATCAATGTCTCTAGTTATGTTTGCTGATTCACATTCCCCATTTCTAAGTGGCAATATAAAGGTACCGCCCTCCAGCTAATGAGCTGAGTGCGTAGTGTAACACTGTGAGCTGTTGTTTTTAATCTAGAGAGTCTGGAATAAATGTTTTTCTCTCTAGTGTGCGCCCACCCTGTTGTGGGCTGCACTAAAATCTTGACTGGCCGATTATGTTCACACAGGCGTGTACGTCTGCGGGTGCAGTACCGATGTCCTAATGGAGTCCTTTCATCTGCAAGTGATGTTGAAACCTGAACTTACTAACTAACCAGACTCATTACCCAATACTAAATAATGTATAAACCGATTATAGTAAATCTCAGTTTTCAGGACACGGTTTGGCACTGATGAGAGTTGCAGTAGTACCATGCCTAGCCTTTGCATGTCTGTCCGAGGTACTTAGTTCGAAGATGGTTTGTTGTAGTTATCGCCCCGACAAGACAGTGCTGTGATTTGGCGCCTCGAATAGTTGATAGGGAAGTGAAAAAAAAAAAAATTTATAAAAGAGCATGGGCTGCGAGGCAGACATTGCATTAAATGAGTATACTAGGAAATGTCATGTGAAGTAGGGCAGCTGGCGTGATGTTGACAAAATCACTGATCGAGTTCTGAATGGTTTTTAAAACTATGAATCTGGTCTGCCAATTAGACAGCGAATGCCGCTCAAATTGACTTTTGAACTTACCAAAACAGGTGGTAAAAAAACCCGTTGTAATGAAGTTGTTTCTCTCAAATAAACACACGAACCTATAAATAGCGATATATGTAGCGGCTAGACGGTCGCCTGCAAGCCTGCCTAAAGGTCTATGGTTCGAATCAGCATCGAAGCTAATGTTTGTGTTTGTGTGTTGAAAATTGACCTCGGCTCCCAGGTCAGGGGCATAAATGGCTGCCAGGTGATGTCCTGAAAAGTGAAGGTGGAAGGCGTAATGTTGAACGCTTTCTCTAACAAGTGGTCTATTAAAGACATAGGTCCAGCACTTTATGCTCGATACGAAGTGAAAATGATCCAAAAATGAAATATCTTCTTAATTTTTGCCTTCACTGATTGTAAACTCAGGTGGAAAAATGTGGTTGTTCGTCCACCTCCGGAATTTAGACAGCTTTTGAGGCTTTTTGAACAACAGATCAACATCATGGCACACGGGTAGTAACCCATAAGTGCTCCGTTCTACTTGTAACTCAGGTCTGAGTCCAAAAAAGCTAAGCAGTGCACAGGCTCTGTAACATCATCGAGGATCCTGAAATACTTTGAGTAGATTTTTCACTCCAAATTTTGACCCGGCAGCGCCGTTAAGCTGCTATTTTCGATTTCCAACTGCTAAGGGATTTTTTACGTGCGCAACTATGCACACGGGCATCCGATCTTACTTTACTACCCAGAGACCAGTGGGAATTACAAGAAATTCAACTCCACTTGAAAAAAATCCAGTCCTTACCCGGGGATTGAACCCAGAACATCTAGCACTTGAGGCGGACACAATGCCTCGAGACCACGCAGCCTCCGCCCCATCCCCCGACTTTAGACATTGTTCCAAAAACTTAATTGTGCGTGCACATACATGCTACAAATCTGGCTTATCTTTATGCAGACTCTTGGTTCCTGGTCTCTCAGCCAGATGCAGTCAAACTTCAAACAATGCCTCTAATTAGTCGACTCCTGCGACATGCTTGCTATGGAGGCAGTGGCTCTATTTTTTGTTTTTAACATAATGGGGCCAAAGACCCCACACTGGGAAAAGTTATGGTATTACCTTATAAAAGCTGACTTGCTAACACGAATGAAATCAGTGACTACACATACTGACCTGAAGCAGGAAAAGATGAAGAAGGCGATGACCAAAAAGAGAAGCGACATAATTGTTGTCACAATCATGATGTCCTTCAATACTAGAATTAGCTGAACCTGTGAAACACGAGAATAAAACGTGTGTACGGCTTACATTGTAAACTACAAGTTTCAAAAGTCGGTTTCTCCTGCGTAGGCTTTGTAATTTCGGGTAACCCGGTTCGATTCCAACTGCGGGAGACTTTGCAGGCAGGCAGCTTTGCTAGCATGTTTAACTATCCAAAGTGAGGTAATTTGCTTCTTTTCATCAGGTGGTATACGGGACACCCTTGAGCATGCTGGAGTAACTATTTACTTAACCCATCAGAGTAATGTGAAACCATGTCAGTAGATGGGCCACTTCGCTTGAGAGCAGAAATAAATTATGTGAAGATATGGCGTTGATCTTCTGTAGCACGCTCGTTTAGTCGATGTGCAAGCATACATTGGTGAATTCCTGAGTTTTCAACCACTCTAGGGCCTTTGGCATAGTTATGACCTCAAATATCATGCTGGTGGTGGTAGAAGTAAAGGCTTTATTGTCCTCTTCTGTGACTTTTCCTTCGGTTCTTGCTGTGAAACTTACTGAACTTCGCTTTAGAGGAATCGTAGAACCATGTATATATATATATATATATATATATATATATATATATATATATATATATATATATATATATATATAAACATAATCTTCCGGTGATGTGTGTTCCGCCACCAGTGCTTTTCCTTTTGCATCAGCCACAGTTGGGGTCAAATCACGACACTGTTGTGACGTTTGGCGCTTGCTTGCTTGCTTGTTGTACCCCACCAGGACATCACACGAGTGATAAACACCTGGTGACACACAAGTGCCACCAGGCGGATGAGGATCACCCATGGAGACGTCCCAGAAACGCCATTCAGCAGTTATGGCCACAATTGTGACCCAGCTATATTCAGGGCCCCCGACAGAAACCAGGGTGGGGCTTCAAATAAAAAATAAATTGCATCCCACAATGGAATGACTTGGATGATTACGTTTGGCGCATTTCCAGCCTGCTATTTATATGTGGAGGATCTAGTAGTATTATCATTACCCTCACGATGTTTCTTTGTGCTATTTATGTATGGAGGATCTAGTAGTATTATCATTACCCTCACGATGTTTCTTTGGTGCAGCCAAGCATTTCTTCATTTTGTACTTTTTCCAGTCCTTCGATTTATGTCTTGCTGAGAAAAGTATAAGTACATATTCTTTGACAGAGATAAACACGCCCTGAAGAGGATGACTAGCCGCCTTTTGTGACCATATATCATCATCATGTAGCAGGTCCTTTGCAGAACGTCGCTCTCATCATAGACTGCCTGAAAGAAACTCGGTCTCTCGCCAGTTTCCCGCCTCATGCACTTTCACATTCAAGGAGTCACTTATATCCTGTGCCCATCTTCGTGTCGGTCGGCCCATGCCACTCCTTCCTGGTACCATGCCTTCGGCTATAATATTTCCCAGTCCGTCGTGGCCCTTGAAATGACCAAAATATTTCAGCTTTCGAGAAAGGATGCTGTTTACTAGCCAATCTTCCTTGATTTTCAGATCTTTTAAGATGTCAATGTTTCTCATCTTCTTTGTCCAAGATATTCTGAGAATCTTTCTACAGCATTTCAGCTTAAACGCCCCTACTCTCTTTCTTAAGGACTGAAAGATAGTCCACGACTCACATCCGTATTCTAATTTGTATCTCCTTGCTGGTGCTTAACCATAGACTTTTAAGGCTGTTCAATCTTTGCATTGCTGTGGCCATCCTTCTTTTAATTTCTGTCGAACAGTCTCCATTGTTTTTTTTTTACAGAGCCTAGACATACAAAGTTTGTGACATTTTCAATTTCTTCATCACTGATTGTTATTTTTGGGTGACAGCCAGGTTTGTCTGTGGACATTTTTTTTGTTTTCTTAAAATTCAAGAACAGATTTTGATCTTCACTATGCTTTTGGACAGACAATATTAAATTTTCTATTCCATTTACGCTGTTCGAAAGGAGGACTGTGTCATCTGCGTAGGGAGTTCTGGAATAGGGTTGCCACCAATTTTCAGCGGATCATAACTGTCACAAGTCTGGTAATTTTTGACATTTCTCATTATATTTTCTGCGTATATATTGAATAGGTATGGTGAGAGAATGCACCCCTGCCTCACCCCCTTTTGCACCTCGAACCAATCAGAAGTTTAACCAGCTATCTGATGGCTGCTTGCTGTTCATGATAAAGATTTTCAATTAAATGCACTAAATGCGCTGAAAACCCCATACTTTTCACAATAGTCCACAGCTTGTGTTGGACACAATCAAATGCCTAGCTATAATCAATAAAACAAGCATGAAGATCTACGTTGTATTCTCTGCATTTTTTCAAAAATTATTCTCATATTAAAGATGTGATCCCTAGTTCCTCTTCCCTGTCTGAAACCCGCTTGTGCTTCATCTAGCTCATATTGTAATTTCCTTTCAATCCTTTTCATGATAATTTGTAAAAGGATTTTGCTAGCATGGCTTTTTAATGCGATGGTACGGTAGTTGGAGCATAGTTTTGGATTTCCTTTCTTTGGGAGAGGGATATAGACTGTTCTTTTCCACGCTTTAGGCCAAATGCCACTGTTCCAGATCTTTGAGCACACTTCATGGTAGATTCGGACGCTGGCCTCTTCTCCTGCTTGAATTAGTTCTGCAGGTATTTCGTCGCAACCTGGTGACTTTCCTTTCTTCAGGCAGTGTATTGCTGATCGTACCTCATTCAGTAAAGGCTCTGGTTCTTTTTCATAACTTTTACAAGTCGTTTTTGAATTACTTGTCACATCCTCATACATTTCTCTACAGTATTCTTTCCATCTTTCTAATATGTCTTTGGTTTCCGTTAATGTGTTACCGTTTGTATCACTTATTACATGTAAAGAAGGCCTGAATTCGGATTTCAATGTTTTAATTTCTTTAAACATGTCTCTGTCTCTTCCTTGCATCTGGAGTTGTTCAATTCTATTACAAGTATTGATAATAAACTGTTTTTTATCTTCTCTGATAGCTCTTCTGATTTCTTTCGTGTAGTTCCTTTATGCATGGCTATTTTTTCTGTCCCCACTTGCTTTAAATTTCTTCTTTCTTCTGTCAGCTTGAAAGTTTTTTCTGTAATGTAAATCTGTTTCTTGTGTCGTTTTTTAGGAATCATGTTCTGAGCTGTTGTGATAATGATGTTTCTGGTTTCATCAGCCAACTCATCAGGTGTCATATCATCCTGCATTGCCATTAGCGCCTCAAATTTGTTTTCAACCTCAATGCTGTAATCATTTGGCAAATTACTTACATCAAAACGTATTGGCTTAGCCCCTTACAACACTTTTTTCAGTTTTATTTTAAAGTCTGCAACAAGAAGTTTGTGATCAGTGTCACAGTCAGCCCCAGGGAGTGTCTTTGCAGATGTTATATATGTCCCTAATTTTTGTTGTATTAAAATATAATCAAGTTTCCATTTCCATCTGGTGAAGTCCAGGTGTAGAGCCTTCTTGGGTGTTTAAATAATGTGTTGGTTATACACATATTCTTTTCTATACAGAATTCGATCAGTCTCTCCCCACTCTCGATTCTGTCTCCTGTGCCGAATGGGCCTCTGATTATTTCCTCTTCCTCTATTCTACCTCCGCCAATTTTTGCATTAAAATCTCCGATGATGATTATACTATCTCTTTGTTCTACCCTTTCTAATGTCTCTTCTAAACTGACATAGAAGTTTTAAATTTAATCTTCCTCTGATGCAGATGTTGGGGCATAGACTTGAATAATTGTGATTTTTCTTTTCCTTGACTTGAGTCTGACAGTTAGAATTCGGTCGCTGATCGGATTATATACAAGAAGTGATGAAAAAAACTTCTTCTTGTCATCAAAAAACCCACCCCGCTCAAACCACTCTTTTCCTTTCCTGAATAAACAAATGTATCTCCTGTTTGTGTCCCAAAATGGCCTTGACCCGCCCAACTATGTTCAGCAATTTCAAGTATATCTATTTTTTTCCTTTCTAATTCTCTGCCAACGATGCTAAGTTTTTCCTGATACATGCTCCTAACATTCCATGTTCCTGACTTTAAAGTATCCTTAGAGCGGTGACAGAGTTTTCTGTTTTGGTACCGTCAGGCTTAAGGCCGTCATCACAACTACCCTTACTTGCTCTGCCATCGTTCTCTTCCCCAGTTCCCGCTTGTGATCTGCCTGGCCTGGGAGCCTCACCATCAGATCTTTGAGTTTCATTTTTGGCTTCCATGATGAGTTTCTTGGGTTAGTGATGTGGTAGTTTCCCGTTGACCATATATGACAGCCATAATTTTTATTGCAGTCAAACACTTTTCTGACCTTGTTAATCATTTTATCAGTTTGGGATCTGTAGATAAAGCTTCCATCAGTCCTTGCTATCTCTTCACCATTCATATTGACAGAGGATGTTAGTGTGTGTACTATGCAGTTGTTCAATGAAAACTAAGCTGCAGTTGCTTTCGCAGGGTTAATCTTTGCTCCGGAGATTTGACACCAATCCGCTATGTGGTCCAGTTCTCTCTGCAGTTCTACAATTCGACCCCATGTTCTTGGCTTTGTGATGCACTAATATTTCATCAGAGTATGAGAGTGTTCTTTCTTCACCTGTTCTCTGATATTTTTCACCTTGTTAGAGAATAAACTGAAGAAGTGTAAGGAAGAAAGGGAATTTATGGGACAATCCTGGGTATGCGGTTTTTAACTCAGACTTCACTCTTCCATTTTTGAAGACATCCTGTCTCTGAAAGAGTACAGCTGCTATCCAGTTAATGCGTGTATTAACAACAAGGGGGAAAAAGGGGGGAGGGGAGAGAAGAGGGTGAATTTTAACATTTAGAGGCTGGTGTGTGAGTTTTTAAAAAGTGCCTTTGTTGTATACATCTTCAAAGTCTAGCGCCATAGCACACGTTTTCACTCCTGCATGAAAACCTTCAAACACATCGTAAGCAAAAAGGGCAGCATTATCAACGAATCACTGTGTGGTCGATATCCAGTCAGTGTTGATAGTAACTGACTTGTTTGTT